CAGATGGTACTCCAGATGGTACTCCAGGGGCAGTGGGTCAAAAGGCATCGCAACTGCTAAGAATCACTGGAAAACGCTGCCGTCGTCAGTGTGGTGTTGCCATCTTCACTGCCAAAGAGCATAGGTTACGCGAAAGTCGCTGAAGGTTGCATGGTCCAGGGCCGCCTGAAAGTGGCAACCCCCTCCCAGATGTCTGGTCTCCTTGGGTCCCCTGAATTGCAGTCATCCCCAGGGACCCTTTTCCAGATGGTTACAAAGTTAATTCTAGGAGTTTTCCAGCACTTTTCGCCTGATTAATTTAGAGCGAAAAAGCCTGGCAGCCATTCTAATCTTGCACATGCGCAGATTGTGTTCCCTGCTACTAGAAAAAAAAAAGAAATATAGAAAACCAGAAAGTTTGGTTCTTTCTTCTTATCTTCTTATAAATTCTTCTTATCCATTTTCATGCCTACACACAAAAAAATTGAAGTATCAATTTACTATTATTTTAGTTACTAATAGTACATTCAAAGAAACAACATTTTGTTTTTATTTTCAGTCTGTAGAACCCTTAGGCGGAATGAAGGATTCCAAATATTTTCAAAATTGTTATTAATGAGTCCTGTTTTCAGGAAGGGAAAATGAGTGGGATTTTTTAACTGACATAATACTAAAGTAAAAGCCTTTGAAAGTAAGTATTGATCTCCAAATCACAATAGAGGATAGAGAAGGATCATGTGTGTTATTTTGCACTTGCTTGTACAAACAACATCATTTCTCCTTTCCCCATACTTCCATTTTTTTACCCTCTAACAAAATGTTTGTTTTTGTTATCTTGAACAACTAGTAATTACAGCCTGCTCCCTAGATTTCTTTTAGTACACATTGATCCATTAGCTTTGACAAAAACATTGCATCTGGTAACATTCACTTTCCTCCAACGTTGACAGTATGAGCTTGCTACACTCACCTACAAGTCACCACATTAAAAAACAAAGCCAAAGAAGTTTCTGCCCAGAAGATTGTCTCATTGGCAGGCTGATGATTGATGTCACTAGCAATGCAATTCAATAAGACAGAAGAGTAGGTAGAATTTTTGGGATGACTTCCTTCTTTAGACATTCTTATATACTTCTGTTTCCTATGCCGTGCTGTATTAACGAAAGATCCTAATTCCTGTCTCATGCAAGTAATTTAACAATTTATAGTCATTCAATGGACATTACCCCTTTTTCCTCCAGGGCAATTCTCCTATTATTCAAATTGCATTCCACGGCTCCATGAGAGACCAAGGTTTTTTAAAAAAGGTTTGCTCAACACAACTATTGGTATCCATAGCAATTTTTCTAAGGCACCACAGAAAATATGAGGCTTGGCAAAAACTCCAGTGCTTCAAGGAAGACAATGAAAGATAATTCCTATCTCCTTCATCAGGGATGCTAGGATTTTTTTTCTTTAATTAACAAATTCTATAGTCTGAAAAAGTTTGAAAATTCCCAATTGATATTCATTAAGTCAAGTTCTCCGTTTCTGCACCTATCCTTTCTGACATTTCAGACACTCCAGGCAAATATTATAACAATTTTATTTGCATTGCTTACAAAAGTTTTTCTAGGCCACTGATATTTGCTTTTTTCTATTTGAATAAGCAACCATAAGTCCTTTTGTAGGTCTTTGAGAGTGGAAAATTCTAATTAGGTGACAACAGTGCTAGGATTTATTAATGGTATGAAGAAGAAGAATGAAATAGGTTTAGCAGGAAAACCTAATTCATTCATTCCTTGACCAGGAAAAAAAATGCAATTCCTTTCTTTATTAGCAATATAACCAGGATAGAAAGGTATTCATTTTTTTAGGACAGATTGGGATTTTTTTCGTATTACTTTTTGCAAGAACCATTCAGCTTCCCATCTCTCTTTTGATTCTCATCTGAATTGTTTGTGATCTAATTGCACTATAATTTTGAAATTAACTCTCTCTTTACTATCAATAATGTTGCCTCGGCTAAGTGCTTACTCTAGTTGCTGCTAAATTCTGCAAAAGTTAATCAAGGACTTTTATTAAAACTTAGTTGGCAACCACTCATGGCAAACACAATCACAATAATGTCTTTTGTCTCCTTGGATTATATTTTTCCTCTGGATATCAGTACTGAATAGAATCCCACAATACCTTGTCTTTTTCTTACTTCTTCTTTGGTCTCTTTACTTGCAAGCCATTTTTCTCTTGCTTTTCAATTTAATTCCAACTGTTTCCTGCCAGTTCCTTAATTCATCTCTTTAGTTTATTTCAAAATTCTGATGAATAAGTGGCTCCAGCGGTCCTTGGAGGAAGCCAACTATCTCGATCCATTCCAGTCAGGCTTCAGACCCGGCTGCAGCACAGAAACCGCTTTGGTCGCGTTGATCGATGATCTCTGGAGAGCCTGGGATGGAGGCCACACCTCCATCCTGGTGCTCGTTGACCTCTCGGCGGCTTTCGATACCATCGACCATGGTATCCTTCTGCGACGACTGCAGGAGGTGGG